CATTTGTTTGCTGTCAACATTGTGATTGAAAGGTGTGATCTGGGAGTCAGACAGACTCGGTTCAAATCCCAGATCCATTAGTTACCAGCTCTGTGAGTTTGGGCAAGTGAGTTGATCTCTCCCAGGTTGGTTTCATCTGCTGTCAAATGGTGATAATAATAGTACCTAACTCACAGGCTTGGCATGGGGTTTAAATACCAATAATGTGTTTAAAGATATTAGCTCAGGACCTAGCGCATAAGTGCTCAATGCTGCTATTAATATACTTAGCACAGGGCTAAAAATCCCATCAATTTATGTGCCTTTTTATTAAAGTGAATTAGAACAAAGTACAGAACATCATAATTGCCTGTCATTGACATTGAGCCCCTCTTAGGATAGGAATCATCCCACACAAAGAAACCATTTTCTTCTTAGAGATAGGATAATAAAAATTAGCTTTGCTTTTTGGGTCTTCCCCTCCAAGAATACCAGAAAATCCTATTCTAGGCAAACAGATCTTGTTGTCCTGACAACATAAATTGCCAAGAAAATAAGTAAACAAAGCTTTTGAATGTTATTTTTAAAGAAAACTTGAACAATACAGGGAGGGGGCAGAAATGTAAGACTTGAAAATTGTCTCGCCCACTAGAATGGCATCATGATCTCCTGCCCAGGCTTTGTCCTTCCTTCCTGTGCTCTTCTGTGTTCTTCCTCCTTGGCCTTGAACATCCAGAACCAATCCCAGCAACTCAGGAGGCTGAGGTGGAAGGATTGCAAATTCAAGGCCAGCTTCAGTAACTTAGCAAGATTGTCTTAAAATTGGGCTGGGATTGTGGCTCAGTGGTAGAGCGCTCGCCTAGCACAGGCAGGACCCGGGTTCAATCCTCAGCACCACATAAAAATAAAGGCATTGTGTGGTGTCCATCTATACCTAAAAAAAACCCCAAATATTAAAAAAAAAAAATTTAAGAGCTCAGTCTAGAGCGCTTGCCTAGCATATGTGAGGCACCAGGTTCAATTCTCAGCACTGCATTTAAATAAATAAATTAAAGTCCATTGACAAATATAAAAAATATTTAAAAGGGGGGGCGCGGCAGCTAGAGATGTAGCTCAGTGGTAAAGCATACCTGGGCTCAATCCTCAGTACCAAAACAAAATGAAAATACCCAAAATGTCAGGGTATTCAAACACTCAAAACAAGTATAAATATCCCAGACATTTAGGTGATTGTAAAGGAAGCCCAGTGGTGAAAGAGGATCTGTGGAGCCTCTAATAACTACAACATGCTCTTCATTCTGGTCCTTACCCCTAAGGGGGCTGGGACAGGCTATGCTTTCAATGCTCAGTTTCCTCACCTGTAAAATGGGGATGGCATTGAGTTTACAAGCATTAAAGATGGTATGTGTGAAAATATTTAACATTTTCTGGCTCACATTGGGTACTAGATAAATGATATTAGATGTTCAACAAACTGAAAAAGAATGTTCAGAGAAACTATTTAGTGCTTTTTAAAACTTGAGGAGAAGGCAGCTCCAGGATTAGATGACACATCAAGTAGGTCAGAATCCCAACTCTTTGAGCCACTGGTTCACAAGCTTGAGCAAGGTCTTAACTTCCTTATGCCCAGGTTCTTTATCAATGGAATTAAATGCTGTTGCCCACCTCTTAGGTTTGTGTTCATATGGGAAAAGAAAATTTGTAAATATTAGCTATTGTCATCTACCTCAGGACCAGAAAATCTCAACACCAAACCTATTGGGTAGAGTTCCCACCATGCCCTTTGGGTCAGAAAACCTTTTTCTCCTCCTTTGAGGACATATTCTGAAGGTCTCTGGTATAGACCCAAATGCCTACTGGCTAATAAGCTTCAACCAAGCCCTTTTCCCCTTTAACCAGATGATAAATTCCTATACTCCTCCATTAACCCATCCATAATTATACAATTATATAATTACTCTCTTCTCCCACCAAATGTTCCACCAGAAAAAAAGCTAGTTAGGGGCTGGGTTTGTGGCTCAGTGGTAGAGCACTTGCCTAGCATGCATGAGGCACTGGGGTTTGATCCCAGGCACCACATTAAAAAATACTAAAAAAGACATTGTGTCCATCTACAATTTTTTTTAAAAAATGCTGGTTAGCTGTCCACCCAGAAAGTTCTGCATTCTGAGGTCACTTTTGATATTTCCACTTTCTATTCAACCCACTATTCCCTCCTGAAGATAGGCTCCAGCCAACAGATCTGTCGACAGCAGGAAACCACAGACCAACTCTGTTAGCTTTGGATTTGAGATTTGCTTCCATGCCAAGATGAACATGGAGCCAGCTGAGAACATAGATAGTTTGTGGGTGCCAGCCATTTGGAGCTCTGTGCTCTTAAGGGCGCCAATACTTGGCTTAAGACTGCTGCCATTTTGAAATTATTTTGTGTGGGTTTGTGTGTGCATACCATATATATGAGAACTTTTTTTTTTTTTTTTTTTTGGTGCCAGAGATTGAACCTGGAGTGCTTAACCACTGAGCCACTTCCCCAGCCCTTTTTGAGTCAGGATCTTCACTAAATTGCTGAGGTTAGTTCTGAATTTGTGATCCTGCTGCCTCAGCCTCCCAAGCTGCTGGGATTATAGGAATATGCCACCATGCCTGACTCTGAAATTCTCATTTTTTGTGGGGCGGAGGGTACCAAGGAACTCAGGGGCACTAAACCAATGAACCACATCCTCAGCCCTATTTTGTATTTATTCAGAGGCAGGGTCTCACTGAGTTGCTTAACACTTTTTTTTTTTTAGTTATAGATGGACATAATACCTTTCATTTTATTTTTTTTTAAATGTGCTGCTGAAGATAGAACCCAGAGTGAGCACTCTACCACTGAGCCATGATCCCTGCCCAGCTCCTTGCTTTTGCTGAAGCTGGCTTTGAAATCACAATCCTCCTATCTCAGCCTCCCACACACACAGGTGTGTGCCACTGTACCTGGCTAAGAAATTCTCATTTTTAACAGAGGCGTTCCTTTGTTCCTCACAAATTCCACAGTTGGTCCTGGTTGGGTTTGATGATTTCTGGTATTTGATACCTGTGGGATCAGCTAACAACCTGATTCCATTTCTTGGACCTCATTCTGCAGAGGCAGAGTGGTTACAGCCACTTCTTGGATTGGATCTTACTTAATATGCACTGATCAAAAATAACATCATGGGGGCTAGAGTTGAGGCTTAGCGGTAGAACACTTGCCTTGCATGTGTGAGGGACTGGATTTGATCCTCAGCAACACATAAAAATAAACAAAATAAAGGTACTGTGTCCATCGATAACTAAAAAGTTATTTTAAAAACATAACATCATAGGTCTAGGGGGTATAGCTCAGTAGTAGAGCTCTTGCTTAGCACATGAGAGGCCTTGGGTTCCACCCCTAGCAACTCCATATCCCTCCAAAAGACACCAGATGAGAAAATACATTTGAAACAAATAAATGTAAAGAAATATTTTAAACATCAACACACCAAATTAATGTTTCTACCTCCACACTAAATGTTTCCGGAGCAGACGTCTTTTGGCCAGAAAACATTCTAATAGATGCGAGTTTTTTTTTTTTTTTTTTTTCACTGCTTCAGAAAGAGCTCTGGAGAGAAACTGTTTCTCATTAGAAAGTTTAAATTTAACTGAAAAAGAGGCAATGACAAATCTGCAAATTTTGGTTGGTTGTTCGTTGCTTTATCAGGGCTGTATGGGCATAGCTGCAGCCTTAGACTTGAAATACAGGCATTTTTCTGTTCATACTCAATAGGAAATTCATGAACAGACAGCAGTAACTGGCCCTGCTTGACTACAGGGATGAACTGTAAATTATGCACACTGTATGTTTGGTGAGAATATCTACGCACGTCTGAGCTTTGAAACCTTTCTCAATTTATAATCACCTTTTCATGAATTCCTAGACTTAATTATCAAAAACCCCTTATTTATATAGTTAAATAGAAAAAGCATACCCATACAAAAGGTATTAAAAAAAGCCAACCCCTAAGAAATGGTTGAAATAGGATTCTTATCATTGGTCTAAAAACAAATTGGGGGGCAGAGTACCAGAGATTGAACTCAGGGACACTTGACCATTTGGTCACATCCTTGGACCTATATTGTATTTTATTTAGAGACAGGACCTCACTGAATTGCTTAGTGCCTCGCTGTTGCTGAGGATGGCTTTGAACTCATGATCCTCCTGCCTCAGCCCCCCAAGCTGCTGGGATTTCACGCATGACACGCCCACCTTAAAAAACAATTTTTTGAAAGTCTTTTTTTTGGCAGTGGTGGGGATGACATCTAGGGCATCCTGCATGCTAGGTAAGAGCTACACCCTTAACTCCCCTGTCCTTATTAATCTCTGGGGTGGACATGTGCTTATGAGCACATGTGAACCACCAGACCCACTCAGGCCAACTAAAGGAGAAGGAAAATCCCTTCATTTGCCCTTACCCTCCTACCAAACATGCATGTGGAAACACTTTATATGCTGCATAAAATTTCCTTCCTCTCAGAAGGAAATCCAAGCCTCATGAAAACCTTTGGGGAGACCCACCCACTCCCCAAGTAGCTCCTCTCTGTTCACATGTGGTAAACAGATTTATATATATAAAGATACATTTGGGGCTGGGTGTGGTGGAACACCGCTGTGATCCCAGTGGCTTAGGAGGCTGAGACAGGAGGATCTCAAGTTGAAAGCCAGCTTTAGCAATGGTGAGGTGCTAAGCAACTGAGTGAGACCTTGTTTCTAAATAAAAAATACAAAAAATAGGGCTGGGAATGTGGTTCAATCCCCAGTAGCTTTGATCCTCAGCAGCACATGAAAATAAACAAAATGTATTGGCAATTCTGCCCAGAGAGAACCTTATCTCAGACACCTGAGCTAACTGGTTGGCAAATCAGCTGTTACATAACAAAAAGTTGGTGTCCTTTGCTACCAAAAGGAAATAAAAGGGGGAATAAAACAAATACATACTTTCTAGCAATCAAAAAAGACCAACTGATCAGAACATAGTTTATTACCAAGATAGGGTGTCATGGATACACCATTGATATGGTGGGTGGAGCACAAAGTCTGTCTTAAACTCTGGCCATAGGCCAGTAAAAATGTGTTCTCTAGAGATGGTTTATCAAAGGCACCCCGTGGGAGGGCAGTTCCTGATGCAGCTGTCGGAAGAGCATCGCACACCGGTTCCTCTCCTGTGTCTTCCCCAGGGTGTGGTACAGTCTGGCCTGGAAGTAAACGACGTCCCTAATTCGCTCTTTGCAGTCAACTTTTGCAAAATAGTTCTTGGCTTCATTGAGGTTCTCGATGGCGGCCTCCAGAGCTGATAGAGAGTGGGTAAAAGGTCATACACATTTACTCAATATTTTTCTTTTCTTTCCTTTTTTTTTGGTACTAGGGATTGAACTCAGGGGCGCTTTACCATTGAGTCACATCCCCAGCCCTTTTTATTTTTTGAGATAAGGTCTTGCTAAGTTGCTTTAGGGCCTTGCTAAATTGCCAAGGCTGGCTTTAAACCTGTGGTCCTCCTACCTCAGCCTGGAATTATAGGCATGTGCCACCCCATGCCCGCTTGGTAAAGTATTTTTAAAAAATATTTTTAGTTGTAGATGGACATCATACATTTTATCTATCTATCTATCTATCTATTTATTTATGTGGTGCTGAGGCTCAAACCCAGTTACTCACATGTGCAAGGCAAGCACTCCACCACTGAGCTACAACCCCTGCCCTCCTTGGTAAGGTTTTAAAACAGATTTTAAGCCTTGGAGGTTAAAATTGCCACTCAGTTGCCCCTAACCCTCCTACTAAACATGCATATGAAAGCATTTTAAAATGCTGTATAAAATTTTAAGGAAATATTTGTGAACACTCAGAACTTACTGTCCCCATTTTAATGTCTTTTCCTCTTCTGAGTCCTAAATTTTAAAAGCTTTCATGAAAATGAGCAATGCCTAACAATCTTTGCAGTTTCCTACCTTCTGCTTTCTTTGGTGGATCATAGGAAGCTGCTGAAGCCACCTGGCACTTGGCTACTAAGAACATGGCACGGCCTTTGTCCAAGATAGCCCCATCAGCCAGGATGGGCTCGATGGCCATGTGGAGGAGGGTTAAGGCTTGTTCTGGGATTCCAAGGATGAGCTGAAAAAGAAACACCACGGCACTGTACACACCATGCCCACCATGCTGCTGGGAAGAGTGGTTTCTGGCCGTCCTCATGACACTCTAAGCTTATTTTCTCCCTGACATATACTGCATTATGGCAGGCACCACACTCCTGCAGTAGGGAGTAGTTACTCACATGTGCAAAAGTTCTGTCTTTACAAAGCTTCAGAATTGATATCCTTTAGATTGGTGATTCTGAGAGTTTGATCTCTTATGAATTACTGGGAGGAGAATAACAACTAAGAAAATCTAACTCAAAAAGTGTAGAGTGAAAGAATGGCAAGGGAATTAAAATAATGAACTAGAAAATAGAAAACATCTATTTAACACAAAAGAACGCAATAATGAAGGAACTGTGGTTCAAAGAAGGTATGATATATAGAAACAAATAGCAAATTAAAAGCAAGTCCTTTATTTACATTCAATGACACTGAGTGACAATGAATATAAATAGATTAAATGAATTAAAAGAAATTCATAGAATGGATTTTAAAAATTATCCAACTATATGCTGTATATAAGAGACTCACTTTAAATTAAAAGGCACAAATAAGTTGAAAGTAAAATGACAGAAACATATTCAATGCAAACAGTAACCAAAATAGAACTAAGTGTCTATATTAATAATCAAGCAAAATAACCT